TCTTGGGAAGGGATATCGACCCTCAGAGGTGACGACCCCGCAACATCCTTCTCATTTTGGAGTTGTCGCTCTGACTACATTTTCTCGGGCTCCTCTGGTTTAGAATCAACCTACGAGATTTGGGTACGCCTCTCCCCATGCAGTATCTTGGCGACTAGTCCCTTCCCAGCCGACACCATGACAAGGAATCCATCGGTTTGGCCAGCTGCCTTTACTTTCTTACAGGCACTGTCGTCCTATTGATCACCATCGGGGGGGTGTTTTCGAGCTTCTGATGTCCCCCCTAGTGCAAAAGAACTGCCAATAGGCATAGAGGTCACTGGCTAAGAAGCAGCCAACAGCACAATAGACATAGCCGTCGGCTGTGGAGCAAATTGGTAACATAAATTTGGGCACCAATCCCTCATCACGAGCAGTCCCCTTCACACGAATTGCCCTTTTAGCATAACTCATCACCTCATACTCTGCAGATGATGAATCACCACAAGAATGAGACTAGGGATAGTAAAATGATCCTAGCAAAAAAAAAAAAAAAAANAAAAAAAAAAAAAAAAAGTGTATCACAATAACTTCGATCCAAAACATCAGAACCGAAAACATTTCAATGAATAACCCCTTACCTTGCTTAAAGTAAATGGCAACCAACGCCGACTAGAGATGGTTGTAGTCGAGATGCCTGTTATGCGTCAGATGGTCGTAACCACATATCACATCATTCCATGTCAGTACCTGTCTCAGCTTCTCCCTAAAAGCGATGGTCACGAGAGGGGTTACCATTGATCCTACTACAAAACACAATGAAGAAAATATTTTTATTTAATTAATTCGAATATCCTATATTAAAAATGCAAACTATTCTCGACATTTTTTTGCTACCAGGTTCATCAAAATGATATAGAGGCTCAGCGAACTGTTGTGACCATTTTTGTTACGTTTTTCGTTACTAATTTGTCGTTCTTTTTTCCCCGTTTTAGGTCTTTTTGTTAGTTTTTAGTTCGTTTTGTAGTTTGTTGTGTGTTTTGCTCTATTTTGGCTTTTTATGTATTTTTCGTATATTTTGTCAGTTTTCTACGTTTTTCTTCTTGTCTTTAGTGTACAGGTCGAAAGCCCCGTGAGGAATGAATTTAGCCCGAATATCGACCGAACAATTATGGTTTCGTAGAGGAGTTCCTTATCTACACATAAGAAAAAGCAGAATCCAAACTACCGACCATTTGAAGGTTGGAAGACCCTAGAGGATTATGTTCTGGGCAAAAATTGAATTTGAAAGCATCATTGAATAGAGGGTTCGTTAACGACGCGTAGGAAAAAACAGAACTCAATTCCGAGTTCGGATGAGCCCAAACGAGCCCGAAACGCAAAGTCGCGCAGCTCAGTCCTTCATAGCGGCGCTATGCGAAGATAACTGGGACAGAGGCTTTTTGTTGAAATGCCTTAGCGGCAGTTATGGCCCTTAGCGGCCGCTAACCCAGGCTGGCAGCAACACAAAATTTTCTTTTCCTCAAAACATGACATGAGTTGGAAAGAGCTCGGTAGTGGAGCACTTAGGGGACAACACTCACCTGAAAATAAGGATTTGGGGCTATAAGAACATGCCCTCTTGATCATGGAATGGACAATTCATCTTTCATTACTATTACTCTATCTTTCTTCACCACCTTTCTTCCATTTTCTTTCTAAGTGTTGTATTTGTTTTGTGTTGAAGACATTGGAGTGTACTTTGGACTAAGTTTGTATTTTCTCTTGGATTATGGATTTCTCATTGATAGTAAGTTATCTTTTCATCTTGTTTATGTTAAGAATGGCTTATTTAAATGTGAATATGCATAATATTATGAGCAACTAATCTTCTAGCTAGGGTGAGGGGATGATCGTTCCGGTTTGTTCTCGTTTATGTGCATGACGATATCTCAATTTTGACGAGTTGTTTTAATTATGAATTGATAAAATCATACTTGATAAATTGTTATAACCTAAGAATGACACAGGTTAATTTGTTGATATAATCGAAGAGTGACACTTCGATTTGTGATTGAATATTGATTTGTCGAGTTAGAGTTTGTTAATCCTACGAAATGCGATTTTTAGAACCGAAAGGGTAGGAGTTGTAGAAATAATCGATTTCAAAACCGAGAGGGGAGAAATTGATGGAACTTGGCTCGTTTAGAGTAGACATGTTCGGAGACATATTGTCTATGTGTTAATTGTTTCGTTAATTTGCTCTTTTATGTTTATCCTCATATTACGAGAGTTAGTGAGGCTAAACCGCTAAATGAGTTAATTAGTCGAGCCTTTTAACCGAGTTATTGATTGTCATTAAATGTGTGTAGAACCGGAAGCGATTATTCCCGATACCTTGGCTCGTTTATCTTTTTATCGTTTATATTTTTAAGAAGATTATCGTCTTTTGTTATTTCTTAGTTGATAAATCTCCAACCATATCATGATTAGAATGTTTAGGATTTATTTTGTTTTTATGTGTTATCGATACTACTCCTAAATTCCGAACTGCCTTCCTCGAGAGATCGACCCGGGAAACGAATCATTCGATTCGGTGCTCGGTAAAATAAAAATAATTTGCTACAACACGAACCATTACTTCCGATCAATCCTTTTTGTCGAGAAAGCTTCGTCGATCCATATCCATTTATCTTTCCATCCCTCACGAGGATCCGAAATCCCCCTAATCAGCTCTTTATACTGCGATTCCCTTAGGGATATGCAATTCGTATCGGACCCGTCCTTTACGATCTCCGAAAATCAAACTGATTCTAATTCTGCCGGTGTTGTCGCCCGAGTCCCATGTCAGAGAAGACCACGATGCGGAAGCAAATGTTCAACCACACGTTAGGATGAATCTGTGTCACAACCAAGCCCCAATATCATATATACTCCGTCAAGATGCCTGAAAGCGGAAACCGAAGCCCAGATTTCACCTACTCCACAAATGTCGCCACACACCCCGGTGGAGGACAGTGCACCCTGTCAATGTCGTCATACGCCTCGACGGAGGACAGTGCACCTCTCCCTAGGACATGACTTGAAAGCTTCTATAGAAGAAGCAATCTTGCAGGTTTCCCTCAACTGCATGACGTCGGCATCGGTTGTCTGGCCGACAATCCCACCAATCCCAACCCAGCATGGAGTCGATGCAACCACTATACCAGGGCAGTGCTAGAATCCTTCTGGTGTTAGAAGAGATGATTTTTTTTCGTCCATCATTCTTGCAAGTCCTTCCTCCAATGACAACAACATACTACGAGAAAAACGAAAAGGTTGAAGGATAAAAATCGACAAGACTCTGCACCTTTGGAAGTGATGGTTTGAGACAAGAAATGAGAGAAAAATGAGCAGGACCTCTTTTTCCTTATTTATATAACTCTTGGGATCCCGTCACAAAGGCATATCCCGTAATCATTAAAACCCCATCAGATGCTTTGAAGGAAGGGTACGACATTCCACATGCAAACAACTTCAAAAGAGACACGTTTAGAGCAAACATTGGGCAAACGCGCCACCCCTGCAAAGTCATTCTCTCTCTACTCAAAGGTAACGTTTTTTGACTTCACTTCGCTTCGTTCGTTGGGTCGACAAAGTTGAGTTGAATCTGAGCGGGGGAGAAACTGTCGTGTCTTAGCCAAACCACTTTTTCTAAGAAAAAGGGGGCCTCTTTTGGTGGGATTAACAATTTTAATATATAAATTATAAAATGCCCGACGCCGTTCATGGTTTCCCGATAGATTATCACAATGAAAATCCAGACAAATTCTTGCGACCTGCCGCTAGGACATCATCTGACCTCAGGAACTTGGAGACTCCCTGTTGCGCACGAAACTCATCGATTTGAATTAACCATTTTTTTCACAAACCAGCTTACTTCGGCATAACTTTGAAAATCCCGAACACAAGACAAGAACGCCCCTGAGCCTCAAGGAAACATTGACCCAATTTGTTCGAAGATAGACAAGTGCCGACCTCTCCTTCAGCACTGATCATCAAACAAGCCTAATGTGAAAAGGTTGACATGCAAAACTGGTTCCCACCACTCAAAATGCCTCAGTCACTTGCGCTACTTGAGCAACTTGTTGAGAGGAGTCTATAGAAGCTTTCCGCGTGTTCTCGGGACAACATTGTTTCTTTCTCTCTCCCTTCTACAAATAGCGACCCTTGACGCTTGAGAAAGATCAAGAAGAAAATACCATATCCTTAAAATAACTCTTTACACTATGTTAATTCTAGCATTCAATTCGTCTTATTTGTTCCTCGTTAAATAAGTTCTTGAGCATCTGTTTTATGCTTCAGAATCACTGTACGCCTTTAATTCTTTTTTTTTTTTGTGATAAATACAGCTAAACGTTCTCGCTGATTTGCTTTTTTAATCCTTGTTTTCTTATTCTTAAATACTGCTTAAAGTTCTTGTTGATTTGATAATAAAAGAGGTTTGAGTGTAGTGCAATGCTCCCGAATACAAATTTTATTATCGCTCTCTTTATCTTGCTTTCTTACATAAATTGNAAAAATGAGTGAGTTGTGGAATCATGGAACTTTCTCGATGTTTCTAATATAATGACTATTTTTGTTAAATAGACAAATTAGATGAACCAGAAATTTTGGTAGTGGAAACAGTGTCAATTTAAGTGATATTGAGTTGCCATAACCAACTAAAATCCAAACATAATTACAAGGTCCACTTCCCAAAACTTCAGGAACATGATTACATATGAATTTTACCCACTCTTACTGAAATTCTATATCCTCTGTTTCTGATATCTCAATTAGAAGTTTTCAATTTATCCATAATCAACTAAAAAAAATAAGCAAAAGAGAATAAAACAAGAGACAAATAAAGGAAAAAAGAAAAAAAAGAAAAAAAAGCTAATTAATAATCTTCAACCGAAGTCAAAATAAAACCTGATTAAAATCATCCTACTTGAGCAAATCGTACATCAAATCAAGATGAGTACCAGCAATACAGGAAAAACAGTAAATTAATTCACATTTTATTTTCAACAAGAAAATTAAACGAGAGAGAGAGAGAGAGAGCAACATAATGAATTGCTAGGATGGGGCGACCTCCGGCGCTGGATCAGGGCCGGCGGCGCTGTAGTCATGGCGGAGCTTCCTGGCGAGCTGGTAGAAGCCGGTGCAGGCCATGGCGGAGTTGACGCCGAAGAGATTCCAATTCCATGGGGTGATGACGAAGCAGTAGCGGGACCAAATTATCCCCGACACCGCAATCACCGCCTGCTGCGGGTACGACACCGATTCCGGCGGCTTCGTAAAGTCGGAGACGTTGGCAATGCTCAATCCCCACTTGAACGTCGGAGCCCAGAAGTGGATCGTCTTCGGGCCCGCCGGGTGATCCCACAGGGCCCGCAGTTTCGATTTCATCTCTTCAGGGGTTGTACACCGTGCTCCCACTGTTGTACGATTCCAGTTGTAATTTTTTTATTATTATTATTTTTTTTCTTTTGGGCAGCAACAATGAATGGACTTCTTCTTATCTAGACTTTAGGCTATAATAATATCCTTCAATTGCATACTTCGTGTGTATGAGGGAAGGAGAATGGGTGGTGTACAGACTGCTGTCAGTGTTGTACCATTCGAGTTCCCATTAAATAGCTCCCAGTAATCAGTACCTGTACCATAAGGGATAACGTATTATATTTAATAGTTTATGCACAATTATGTAGTATGCTTTTTTTAAGGGTGGAATGGTCAATACGTTTTTTGGTTAGTCCACTTTATAAGAGATTTTATAAGATTAGAATTTGATAACAATAATTATTGGCCAAAGAGTTATTAGATGATAGATATTCAGTAGATTAGCTAATTATTAGTCACGCTATTATAATAAATGTTCATGCGTACTTTAATATAATTAAATGGTATATTTTAAAATCCTATACCAAAACTCCATTATATGCGCGCACACATATGTAAATGAAGTATTATAAGTAATATATATGTATATATGATAAAATTATAAGTTATATAATGATATTATATTTTAAAATATGAACATCAATTCAAAATTATTTAATTACATATAAATCACTATATTGATTGCATAAAATATAATAAATATTGTAATTTTTACAATATTAAGAGATCATGACCGATTAGTTAGTTGTAAAATATTAGTTTTACTATTTTAAAGGACTTGACTATACCATTAAAACTAATAGTTAAAGAAAATAGTTAAATGGGATTAAAAAAGATAATATTAATTTTAGAATAAATAAATTAAAGAAATAATTCTTACAATATACCTTTTTTTTTGCTGTAACTTTCATAAATCATTTAGTATAAATATAATTAACTAGTTTTAATCCTAAATATTATATGATAGAATAGTTAAAAGAATCTGTAATTATTACTCAATTGATATAAAAATTAATTATTTTTGGCATAATTACCCCNCTATATACTATATATATATACACGCACTTACATGTATATTTGATATTTCATATGTAATTTTTTTTTCTGCGTAATTATGCTTGTTTAATGGCTGCATTAAATCTTCTTCTTTTTTTTAGATAATCTTATTTTTGAATAAATATTCATAGGTTAAAATATAAATATAAATAAAACTATATCATTTAACATTATATTTAAAAATATGACGACCTTTAACATGTGATGAGTAATGTTGCTTCTCAATTTATTTTTCCATTGGCTATCATTTGCTACTTGGTCTATAATAATTAAAAAAAAAAATTAAATAGTACCCAACGTGTTTGGAAGATAAAAAGATAAACTAGGATGGACACAATGAATTTGTCGTGACGTGACCAACTTTTGCTCTACGAATTCGGTGGATGAACGCATCTTTTGTCCCGCCTCCGCAAGTTGGAATTATACTAATTCAGAATGACTCATAAGGATTCACATTGATTTCATGGGTATAATCCACTTTCACAAATTCATTGATACAGCTCAGTTGGTATAAATAAAATGAGATATGAAGGTAAATGAAGATAAATAGTGTAATTTTTTCCAACAAATTTTGACTTAACTTTGTAAATTTAAAAATAAAATGAGATTTGAAGGTAAATGAAGATAAATAGAGTAATTTTTTCCAACAAATTTTGACTTGAGGAGTTTGGCAGACTCGTCTTTAGTGGACCACCAAAATATTATGTGGGCTTCTATAATGATCTGACCCAATAAGATGTTTCGGCTTAGCCGACAAGAAAATAAAAGCGCACCTAAAAGGCTAAAATATAAGATAGTCTTGATCAATTTGTGTCATCTCGACAAGAGAAAGAGTAGATCTGATCTATGACTAGCCATTACACTACCTTTGAAGCTAAATAGAAGTAGACGAAAAGGTTACATTTGATTCATTCAGGTTCTCACTACAATTTACTCAATTCATATGTTTCCCATGCATATAGGTAAACCGCATTCGTACAAAGCAATATATGTACGCGCTACTTCACACGATTTTAAAGTCGTACAATTTTAAGTCACGCACGAAATATCCATCTCATCAAAACAGTGTCTCAACGTTGCGAAAAAAATAGAACAAAGAACACAATTTTACGTTACATCACGACTCAGAAAATTAGAAAGTGCGCTTAAATAATAGATTAAAATATCATCAAGCCTTGGCGCAGCAGTTGAAGTAGCGGAAAATGCTCCTCCTCGACTATGCCAAAGAACAACATAAACACAATTAAGATGATTTTCACAAATCAAATATCATGAATAACGTAAAATAAACAAAAAACAAAAAAGAAAGAAAGAGAGCACAAACAAAATCTAGTTCGTCATGCTTACGGAAAAATCAGGAGCAACAACAAGATTATATTGCATACAAGAGAATTCCAATTTACTTATCTTTTCCCCGTTTTTAGTAGAATAACTTGATATATCTTGAACAAACAATCATAATAAAAATAGTCAAGGGTACTACCATAAAGAATGAGGGACCTTAAGTGTGTGTGTGTGTAATAATTCAACGGAAGCTGATGGCCAAATCAATATGATATGGTTTATACTTTTTAAGCACACAAATCTAGACCACTACATTCTTGTGGTCCAAGTAAACCAAGATCCTTTAGAACAATCAAAGACATGTCATCCTCTTGCAATTGTTTCAATATTTAGTGCCACATGACAAAACCACCAACAATTATGTCTAACTCGGCCAAACTCGTGGTCCTTTATTATGAAAACTTTAACAATTCAAATTATGGACAACTGCATAAAACTAGACCAGGTTAGCCTAATTACATACAATTACCTCCAGCTATCTTTCAAAATTATAAGCACTCTTTTGAAGTGTTATGGACATACATACAAAGATGTCTCTCATGAAGATGTGATTTAAATGCAAGGGGTTCTTTGCAATTTCATAAGATTTTTTAAGCAATAATCCCAACATGGTACATCATCCTTCATNCTCAGAGTTTCCTTTTGTAATACACCTTACAAATTTAGCACAAGCTCGACACCCCCAATATCTCTGATGTAACTAACTATAAACTAACCTTTGAGACAAGTAGGATAAAAAAAATATTAGAAAAAAGTCATGATACTTCTATTTTAAGAACGAAAAACAGAAAGAAAGGATTATACCGTTGGAGAATGGTTCTGATGATAGTCGTGATGAACGTTTTGAGCAATGTTAGAAGCTCTCGTGTTTGTGGAATTAAGCTCTTCTTCATTTCCAAGACTTGCCCTAGATGGGTCCCTCTTGTTCTGCTTCCTATTTTCTCTTAATTTTGTGAAATCCATAGAGTAATCGGGCAATGCTTCCTTTTGATCCCAGTCTCCAAACTGGGGCACAGATAGCCATGGTGCATTTCTCTAAAAATATCGCCAAACGATTAAAATCGTTTCACAATCACTCGCAAACCATAAATTGCTTCTTAAGAGATGATTTTCCATGGTTCAAGAAAAAAAAAACTGTCCTAATTGAACATGGAGGATGTTGTTGATTTTTCAAATTGAGTTTGTGACATTTTGTTTGCCAGGGTATTTTCCATTCAGGAGCAACTGTTGAAGAATAATTGTGATTTGGATAGATTTATCACAGGGAGGAAAATTATGATTTGAACAGTATAAGAAAGTCACACTTGGCTCCCCAAAATTTTGGCATCTGTTAATTGACTTGTGCATTTCTTAAGCACTAGCTGTAAAGAAGTCAACTCAAAGATTAAAAGTTTGTCGGCCAAGATTCTAATAAAGGGGAAAAATTGCAATTATGAAAAGAAAAAAGAAGAAAGAATCAAACAGTAAAGTTGATAAATCTTGATTGGTTCCTGTTCATCTTTTACATTTACTTTCTCAACTAGATCACTCGGGAAAATCGTGAGAAAAGAAGTTAAACAGTTGACCGCAATAAAATCAGCCCTCTATCATTACTAGCCCAGGAATTAAGAGATATGAAATAATCTATTATATTATAAGGATTTTGTAGGTAAATCAGCTTAAATTACAAGAACTGATGTGCAAACCAGACATCTAATCTAGTCCAAAACAATGTAAAAGGAATTTGACAACAATTTTGCATAGAATGAGAAAGAAAGAACTTGAATTTCTCTACAAAACAAATATGTGCATGTCACTAAAATAAGTAGTGACCAACAAGAAGCCAAATTCAAATCAGAACAAAATTACATCACAAAATCATCAGCTCCAGTATAGTTTCTTGATAGATCGAAAAGAGTAGATTTAAGACGAGCAAAAACCCAGAAACATTCGAAAGTGTCTAGTTCCTCACGATTTGCACAAGTTTTCATATACCACACCAAAAAAAAAAAAGAAAGAAAGAACGAAAGAAAGAAAGCCAGCAAAAATCTTTGTCTTTTTACCTCCTTGCGATCCTCCATCGATGGATACTAAATTCTTCGAATTTTCCGATGAAAATGGGCACCGTTTTAGCCTCCAAAGCCCCGAATAAATATTAAATAGTATATTTCACCTTGAGATAGAACAACAACGAAAACTTCGGAATTTAACAAAAGGGCCCTAATAAAATGGCAGATTTTTGTTGGCTACGGAAGAAATTATATAAAGAGATTGCAGGCCGCGTATACTATATACTACAACAGAAATCTGTCTTCAAAGTTGAATGAAATATAGAAGGGAGAGGACGATGTGTACAAGATAAGGTTTGAATTTTCGCGTAAATTACAAAGTCGCCATTGGAACTTCACACGCTTTTGGCTTTTTATTTTTAGTAGTATTATTTTTTCAGCTGCGCTGGCAAATAAATTAGCTTTCACGTCACGAGCCTTAGCTTAGCTGTGCCGTGGCCGTCTCTCTTTCTCTTGTCCCCTTTCTATTCCATTTAGGTCTTTTTTTACTTCTCAGGAATTCAGNGTAGATATTATTACTAGTAATTTTACTCATGCATATGCACGGCCAAAATTAATTTAATTATCCTAAGCATTAAATAAAATATAAAATTAAATATAAAAAAAATAAAATATCTTATACATATTAATTATTAAGCTTTTCATTAACGTAGAAATGAGTCAGTCATCAGCGTAGGAGGAAAATATTTGACATCTAAAACTCTTGCCATTATAAACAAACTGAGTTTAAACAAACAAAAAATATCGCAATTTCACATTCATGATTATACATTAGAGTAGCCCTTAACTCGAAGAGTTGCACCAAAACAATCTATTCATACTGCACGATAACTGCCTCCTCTGCTATTATCCAGTCTACATCGCCAGATTTGACTTTATACAATGAGTCTGTGCAACTCTGAAAGAGATCAACCAAGATAAGTTATAATTTTAAACGGTTAAAAATGAAAGAAAAGATGTGAAACAGAAAGGAAAAATGGTGGAAACAAAAACAACTCTTCTATATAATCACAAATATCAAATGAAGGCAGTCTAATAACAAAATTTAGTTGTAGGAATAATAAACAAACACATAAAGTATATAAGATTATATAAATAAGAAATAAATAAATAAATGTTTGCAAGGCAAACCAATTGTCTTGCAGAGTTGCAATATTGATGCTAAATGTCAAACTACAAACTAGTATCATGTCCATCATCCGTTCTTTACTTTATGTACTGTTTGCATATTGTAGAAGACAAAAAGGCATGTACCTTGGAACAAGTGTAGACTAACAAAGTCATCCAATTAAATTTCTCTAAGGATGTTCTCTGCCGTTCGTTGGCTGCTTCATGCAAGAAGAATATAACTGGCGGCATCAATTGCAGTTCATAATGCCTTGCCTCACCACAGTGTTTACACATCTCGGGATTTTCCATTTCTACAGAAGCCAAAAGAGGTTTCCCACCATAGGAATATCTGGGAGAGAGAAACACGAGCTATCACAGAAGGTGAAAGAAAAAAGGAAAAAATGAGCGAACAGCATTGAGAGTATATTATTTGTGTGAAATACGGCATAATAACGAGATTGGTAAATGTGGTAAATCCAATTTTAGAAATAAAAAATGAAAGAAAAAAAAATAATAATTCAGCTGCCTAGAAAATGTAATGAAGTCATCTGGGAGACACAGACACTAAGCTTGATATAACGTATCCCCTTGAGTTTCAGATATTCCAAATTGTTACTTTCAATTGGTACAACTTATAATGTATAAACATGTCTCTATTAGTGTTTTTAACAGGATAAGAGTCATCAAGGTTGATTTTGAAGTTTTTTACCTAAAGCATTGCTCTGGGTATGAATCCATTCGTTTCTTGAATTTCAAGTAAGTCCTGTCGGCACTCAATGCACTGTCATATTCATATTTCTCTTCTTCATATGGTTCTCCATTTGACTGATCTTCAGAAATGTGATCAAACTCTTGAACTGAGAGCAAAGAGGCTTTGGAACTCTCATTAGTAACCTTTTTTGATACTTTCTCTTCTTGTGGGTATACGTAGAAGCACGGCATCACTGTAACGAGGCAATGAGAGATGAAATCAACAACTAATTAAAAATAAAGCATGCATATAATTCAAAAAATACGCAGGAAACCAATGCTTAAGTAAAATCACTGGAGTTATAAACACAACGGGTCGGGTTTGGGTAGGGTAAATTATATGCGGGTCGGGTTTGGGTTTGCCAAAACCCATACCCTACCCGACCCATTTACATCTCTAAACACAAACAAATGGGCCATTTCACATATTAATTCACCAGGCCCACTTAAGTAAATTGCACGGGCCTGCTACATGCAATACGTGGCCTGTTGGTTCAGTACGGGGCACCCCGTACTCTGCTATTCAGCCTCATTTTCACCTTTGTTCATGCCTCCAAAATCATCGTGCACAAGAGATAGCCTCAAAACGCTGAAAAACACTAACAACCTCATCAAAGCACAAGAATCGCTCATAATATCAAATAGGTCGAAAAGTGCACATGTGCGAAGAATTAAACGTGCACAATTAAAATATTAGATGATTAATGCAAGCACGTTTTCAACCAATCACCGGTTTTCAGAACCTTGGAAAAAACCACAAGATCTCATCACTTATCGTACTAGCAACTCAAAGATTGGAATTTTTGTATAAACGGGTAGGGTAATCGAGTCGGGTAACGAGTTTTCCTACAATAGCCGCACCCGACCCGACCCGGGATTCGGGTTGCATAAGTCCACCCGAGCTCGACCCGAAACCCGACCATCTCGGGTTTACCCGACCCAAAAGTGCGGGTAACCCGCGGGTCACCCGACCCTATGGGTTTTATTGACATCCCTTATTTGTCTTTGAAAAATTTGGGCCACGTCTGATGGTTTCATGAGGAGAGAATTAAGTCAAAGACCCATTTATTTTATTTGTTGCCATTTTTTACGGGGAGAAAATTTTTGGAGACTTTTGGCTTGGAGGAAAGGAATTTTTACACATTGCGGCTGCGAGGGAAACCTTGAAGGCAGATAGCAAGTTACAGAAACGCAACAGAGATATTGGAATTAGAGAAGAATTTCATTTTTCTTTTCTTTTTCTTCGTTGTGTAATTAAATTCATGATTATGTTTTCGAACGGTAGGCGTGGCTAGTTCTTTAATTCTAGTTCCGGGGAAGTCGAACCCTACGATTGACGATGTTTTGATTAAATTACATGGTTGATAATTTCATTATCTTTTTGGAATTGTTCGTGTTATTTTGACTGAATAACTTAGATTTGTTAAGTCTTATTTAGATTGAACACCTACATTAGGCTTTTCATATCTATAGCTGAATTAGACCTTCAATCCGTAATTGTTGTTGTGTTTTATTCATAATATGCAACCGAAAGATGATAACTACCGGGGATAACACGGCCTATTTAAGTGAACAAACGCGGTTGAGTTCACTACCTAGTCTAGCCTATTTTTCTAATTCGTAAAGCGGCTAATTGTATTAAATCTTGAAAACGTTTTTCTGACCTGTACAAGAAGTCAAGCTTAATCATAAAGCGTTTCGCGGATAAATTAAAAGTAAGGAAAAATTCGGATAACAGACCGTGTCGTTACCTAGGGCTAGTAATTCCATGAGATAGCGAGATTTGATACTAAAATTGATTAGACGAGTCAGTCGAGGGTGTAGACGGAACCGTGGACTAGAAACTTCCCCATTTATTTGATTAATCATCTTTATTTGCTACATCTGATTTCATTCCGTTATTCATAATTCTAGTAGTTAATTAATTCATACCAAAACCCCCGTTTTTAGTATTATTTCCGTGATTTCAATTAAGGAAAAATAATTGCAATTCGATTACACACTCCTGTGGGCTCGACCCTTGCTCACTACTAGCAGTAGTAGTTGTAAGAAAAATTATTATTATAATTTGACCGTGTCGCGACGCGCGGTCATTTCTAGAGACTGGACCGGTGAACTGGCCGGTTCCCGGTTGCACCGGTCGAACCGGTCCGGTTTTGAAAACCATGATTTTTTCTATCTAGTAAACTGGTTGGTGGGCCAAAATTCCAATAATATCGAAGTGAGAGGTTCTGTTAATTCTAACAGTGATGATATAACAGTCGAAGGATTCGAGACACAATTTCCAGATAGTTACCAATGGAACGAATGTTTTGTCTTGGAACAAATGTGCATCCACATTCTGAGAGTGCTCAGATAATTTTTCAAAAGAGATTGATTCTGTTCCATGTGTTGAAATTTGAACTCATGCATTTTTCTACTGAATCCTCCCACATCCTTCTTAGTAGGCAAATATATGAGCATCATTGCACAAATTGACCTAGAAAATTTGTTTGATTGTTCCTATCTTTTTATTGTTTTTATTCTTCCCTGTTTGGACAATAATTAGGCCAAATCTTAAAGGGTAATTTTCGTAATCATCCTGGTTGTAAACTGCGGTCAAGATTATAATTTACCCAACAAAATTTCTCACACGCACATTTCACAAATTCGATTCCCAAATAATTTATCCATGTCAGGATCATTTGACAAACTTTAGCCGTTGTTATAACCATGACCATCAATATATCACGACATACTCTTGAAGGCGTTACTTTCAGGAGATTCAGACTAATTCAGAGTTTGAACACTATTTGTCCACCAAACTCGGAATACTTTCAATGGAGTCAAACTCGGAACACCATATATGAGGAATTAAAGATGGTCAAAAGAAGAAAAGTTTTACCTGGTATTTTATCATCTATAGGCCTAGCCAGCCGACCCCTGGGCAGAGGCTCCCTATTCGAACCGACATCATTATTTTGCTTTTTTCTATCAGTGGTGGTGAAACTCGCAGCTTCAGAAAGTGCCCTGGCCAACTCCTCCATATCCATGTTGTCATCATCATCATCATCGCCACTGTTTTCATGTCCTAGCTCGTTCCTAGTGTCAAACGACCAAAGATCTTCTTGCCAATTGTCGTTTGCAACAGAAACAGATGATGAGGGTACATGATTTTTTTCGTTACTTGGGATCTTTTGAACTCGAACTGCACGCCAGCTGCATAAGGAAAGAAAACAGACGATACTAAGGGAATCTTTGGGGAAAAATAAAATAAAATGCGAGAAGTGAATCTAATGTAGGGAAAAGGAACAGAAGCTGATTACCAAAAGTTGGTAGTGTCTTAACAGCAATAAGTTGAATAAAATAAGGAGAATGTTCAATGAAACAGTTTGTAAATTTTTCCTTATTTTCTTAAATTTGTACATAGAATTCAAACTAGAAGCATAACAGGAAAATCCGAAGTTGTGATTGATACAAGAAATAAATATTTTATGATGCTGGAAANGTTGAAAAAAAAAAAAAAAAAGAAAGAAAGAAAAGAAAGAAAACACTAGTCTTCAGAGAACACTTCGTTAAAGTTGCTCGATTTACATTTCACACATCATATTTCCTTCTCATATCTTATCACAGACACAAATTTCATTCAATTTTCATCGAGAAAAAGAAAACTGTCATCAATATTAGCAAGAGCATCAATAAACTGATTGAATTATGCACTATGGAGAATCAGAAGCTGCCAGTCATATCTTTTATTCCTTTCCAATTATTTCTTAATTAAGCCAGGAAACAGCAATACCATATTCGACCAACAAAACACAACTATACTTCCCAGAAAAACATGACAAAGGACCATACAGGTGGCTTTCACAATATGGGAGGAGACAGCCAAAAACATAGATAATCCGCTCGTTTATTGCCAGTGATTCACTTGATACTGGAGCATAAATCTGGATATACAAAAAGCATAAGAAGCATGTTCAAAGATTGTAAATTTACACGGCGGAAAGAGTAAAGATTCCATGATGGTAAACCTGTGCAAGGAGACTAAGATTAATCCCACACGTATTACACTCGAGCAGACTTTGCTTCTCTTCATCAATTGGAAAAGGCCAATCCTGGTCAGATATAGAAAACTCAGATATTTAGGGGATCAGAGACAACACATCACAAATGAAAAAAGTATTTTTTTTTTTTTTTAAGATTAGGTCGAGCTATATACTGGAGTCCCCCCAATTTTGGTCGTGTATATGTCAGCTGCTTCATAATTGTTATCAGCCCATGGACCTGGCATGGCTAAAATGACTCCATCCATATCTTTCTCTTTTCTGATGTTACAATAAGAAAACATGAGATGACGTCAATATGCCCAGCTTATAAAAGTTAAAAATGTTTTGGATGAATAACACAGATTCATAGAAGTAACAAAAAGGCAGATTTTCGTATTGGTATATATTTGAAATAACATTATATTAGTTAAAGAAAACCTTAGAAAACTGGGAAAAAATAAACCTTTCAGGTCCAAACTTCTTGCACCAGAACCCAAGTCTAAGTGAAAAGGGAACATATTGACAGTTTGTTATCTTAACTGAGCATCCTAATGATAACGTAGTTAACTGGCGCCAATAGAATTTTCATCGATGACTATAGTTACAGACAATCCTTAACCCAATTCTGAAACTTCGAGACAATTTAGTTAAAACAAGCACGAGAGGTTTCGACTTGGTTATTTTATTGGTAAAGCAAATTAATTCCTAGCACACAAAGAAAATGCCAGATTAGATTCGGATATATCAAGGCCATGATACAGTCAAAAATCAAAATACACACAGCACACAAATGTCTATCCAATCGTGCATTATACAGTGTATCCGTTACTTTCCAATCAAAGTTCAGCCGGAAGGCATAAAACTGAGTCCAACAACTAAAAACA